CGAATCGCGACACTGCTCGCACGAGGAGGATCGATCGATTGGGCAATCGACACGAAGTTTCGGAACACCGTTAAAAACTATTACCAATTCTGGTATTTTATCTAGTGACAGGATCGAGTAAATAAACAGCGGTATCTATACATACAAACAGATCTTCTATGAATATTTTAAAAAGAAAAATTATACTCATTATTGGACTATGATTTCACTTTCTTATAGATTAACTTTAGATAGTTCTATTTTGTATTTCTACCAATGGTCTACCAATAGACTAATCAATCTGAAAATTATAACGTCATTGTGGTTTCTACATCACGATTCTTTATAGAGTGTATACGAGGTTTTTATGAGTGCCTCGAGTTCTTTTCGTTTCTTAACCACACTTCACATACGACCAAAGTTTTTGCGTATACCTTTCAATCGCTGACGTGATCGTTAATGTATCCTTTTACCGTTTAATTGTTCTTTCTTTTGTCCTGCTTTGGATGAAAACATTTTCCCCGAAAATTGTCGTTGTTTTGAACGATGCTCACGAAATTCCGTTGGAATATTCCTCGGTAACATTAAATGCGAACCGGTGTCTCGTTACACGATATTTTTTATGCGGTAATCAGCTTGCGTATAGATATGCGTTACTCTTTCGTCACGGTTGGTCTCCGTTTTCACGTTTCGAACGCATCTGATCGGCGAGAAACCCCTCGAATCGTAACTCTTCTGACAGTTTCAAATTCGTCGGCGAGTTATAGCTGGGAAAAGATGTTTTCTAAACGTTTCACAATGCCACGAGCCACGGCGAAGAAAGATGTTTCATTGAATTTTATGGTCGGCCATAAGTAACACCTTTTACAACCTGGTAAAATCTACGACTTCTGTTTTTCAGAACAGCTTTATTAGGACGCTGTTAGGGGGATTATGACAAATCTGCGTAAGCGATGGGGAAATTTCGTCAAGACAGATAGGTGTCTGTTTTTAACACGTGAAACGACGACAACGTAATATCTTCGCAGGAATAACAAATAAACAGTGGAGAATTTTGTTCTTCTTTCTTTCGGAAAGATAATAAATTTAAGAGTGCAATAAAATAATATACATCAAAGTGAATGATTAATGTCTCCACCAAATAAACCTCATCGCGAATATGAATCTCTTACACACTATACTTAATCACTATAAAAAAACAAGACTTTTTGCATTTCCACTTTCAAACACAGTGAGTGTCTCATTGAAATTTCAAACGTGCCGGTATTTTTTCCGTCTGCAGGCCTGGAATATGTCCTTCGAGCCGACGAAATTGATCGGGAATTTCCATAAAAATCGCTCAGATTGCGGTTCATAAATCCGCGAACGGTTGATTGGCTTTTATTTCGGTGTTCCTGGCGAAAAACGACGTTCCTCTCTTCGTTGGAGTAAACACGATCTGCTCTCGTGAAATTAACCGGACGAAAAGGAATTCGACCTGGAATTCACGTATCGCGATATGAATTACAGGGGAAACCCGTTTTTTTAAAAATCGTTTTTAACGTCGCGTTTACTTTCATAAGCAGTAGGTTAAGTGGGCCCTTACATAATGGTCGCGTTATCCGTCACGGCGTGTGTGTAAGGTTTAGCCCGGAATGTATTGTATAATCTCTCGATGTTCGGTGACAGCGTGTCGTTTGTTTTTCACTCGCGGTGTGGAAGACGTTGAATAATCCGCGGGCCTATCAAAGAAAGTTGAGTGGCGCGATGGGCCATTACGGTGGGCCGTAGATAAGGGGGGGCCCCAGATGACGCGTGCGACGACATCGGATCGGGTTAAGTGACCACAAATCGACCAATAAATTTTCCTCGAACTATCGATCGGTCTGTCGCGGATTTCGTCAACGGACGATCGTGATTGGACGATGCTGATCAGTTTCTAACTTTCGAACAGCTTGCAAAAGGGTATTTTTTTTAAATATCACGGTAAACTTTCGTTTAATTAATTGAGGATGAATGAGGGCCACGGAGATAAGTGGAGGCATGGGAATCAAATCAATTACGTATTTTCTGTCCCCGAATCTGTCTGGTTTTGTATATTCATATACGGGAGGAACCGATGTGGCAAGGTCGCCAATTAAAGATCTACGTTAATTAGCTGATCCTGTAACGTGATCGGAATGCAAGGGGCGAACAATGATGGCCGTTCGTGTTGCACTTTCTAAAAATTAATAATCGGTCGTGCACGCTGCTCGGGAGTGAACGGAGATGAATAGTAAAATGAGAGGAGGTGCCGACGCGAAGACGCGGTGAATTGTTCATTTTAATTAGCTTCTGTTCTGTGAATGAGAGGATGCGATGAGGTTGGCCAAATTGTACAATCGCTTTGGAGATCTTGCACCTTGGTCTACTGTTCTCTTCAATACTATTATAATTGACTGTTTCATATAATTAGCGTGTACTGGGAATATTGAATAATTTCAATTCCCTGTCAGAATATATATTAAACACACACTAATGTTTTAAATTGACGTTAAAAAATCATAAAAATAAAACAAATTGGAAAAGTGGTAACTTTTTCGTTTGCTATTGTGTCTGTAGTCATTGTGTTGACTTGATAAAAAGAATATAGATATCGTTCTATAGAGAAGGTATAGACATCGAGGAGTGTGATCATGAAAGACAAAAATGACCTTATATGGCACTTCTTGATTTCAATTTCGTATCTTCCACTAATATAAAACGTGTAAGGTGACTCGTTCTTGGTAAACCACCCTATATAGATACAAAACTTCGTCACCATGAGAAATCTGAACTCGATGAAGATCTGCTACTACTTTCAAAAATAATTTTCGTATCTATTTCCAAAGTCTGTTTCCAAGTTTGATCCAAGATCATGGACATTTTCAAAGAAAAATTTGTAATTAAGAATCACTTAGCAGATCCAAATTTCTGAATGGCGGTGTACACGTTTCACGATATCGTAAAGTGTTTCCGTCACCGAAACCCCGAATCCACCACCAACAATCGAGTGAAAAATCGTCTCGCCATAACCGGCCGCAGGAATTCGTTTCGTTAGTTTTCCGTGGAAATCGACCCGCGAGCCCTTTGTCTGTCCGCGATAAAAAATCCTTCGACCATGTATAAACAAAGACCGATGGGGAAACTCGATGGGGGAGGGGAAAGTTCACATCGTGACCCGTATTCTGGCTCCCTCCACGAGATCCCGTGGAAGTTCAGTATACCGGGAAGGCTTCTAAGATCGCGCGAAATCGCAGTCAAGGTTCCGGTGAGACGTGAAACGTCGAGCCCCGTGGGTAGCCTCTAGACAATGAGGGATCAGATAGCACTCGTAAAAATCAGGTAATGGCTTGTCGCACGAGGATGTGTCGAAACATTTCATTCGCACATTAATTAATACCGCAGGGTACAGTAGACGTTCGATAATTGATCATCTCGGGGCTGTAAAGGGCCAAAGTTTTAGGAACTAATCAATTAACGAACCGGCAATTATTGAGCGTTTAATATAACTCGATTTCCCCCCTGATTAAGGCGACATTCTGCACGGATAAAAGGCTTGTTAACGTTTTTTTTTTGTAATCGACCCAGACCACCGATCTAGCTCGCGACGACGTGATCCTGAAACGATTTCGTAGATTTCTGTTCGGTTGCGTCAGCGTTGTCGCGCGTGAATTTATAACGCTAGAGTGGTCGCTGGTTTCCAAGGAATCGGAGCTCGATTTGAAGGCTGTCCGCGGTCTCGGACACGTAAAAACTTGGGCAAAGGTAACTGGACACATTATAGTCATGTGTGTGGCCGTTGATTTTGGTCATCGAGATTGTTGAACGATTCTTTGAGATCGTTTGCGCGGTTGGATGTCGCGTGTATTTTTCTTGTTCGGAAGATCGTGTTATTGGACAGGTGATTTTAAGAGGCACTGGAATCAGGTATTCATACATTATTATGAATGAAATGATTCATGGAGATGAATCATAGTACTTGCATAAACATGGTCCTTGTGGGATGTGTTCGAATGTAAACGTTTCAAGAAAAGGTTGAACTAGTTTAGGTTTATGGAAATTAAACCTGTTCAAATCTTTATTTCATGAGGTATTGCAGGCCTTGTGGAAGAAACAGAATGTAAACTTGAACTTTCTTTGATTTGTAGAAGCTTTCTAGTGATTTTCTAATGATAAATTGTAACTGCTAAATTGTAAGTACTTCTATCAATATAGATCGTGAATTTTAGTTATATCGTGTACAGATAAACACGGCTCTTTCTTAATTAATTTCTTTCGCAGTTTTAATGTCATTTTTAATCCGTTCAAACTATTAGAACGCAGATTAAATGATTCAATTTCCATTTTTATAAATGAGTCCGTAAAAATGCCGGTTTGCATAAACAGCTGCAGTGTAGTTACTGGAAACCAGTTTGACGATTCTTGTGAAATGTAGCTCTAAAATAAACATAGTTGTGTTTTACAAACATGAATATGAGGGTTTGGGATCTATGCTTATAAAAATCTTTCTTTGACAGATCTGGGATGTAATAAAATCTGGATGTATCTGTGTGTTCCTGTAAATACTGCAAACCACGTTATATTAATTCAAAATTTATAATACAATATATAATTGCATATCTCCAATACGTATTTATAATATTTACAATGTTCATGAAAGATATTCTGCATGTGACCGCAATGAAAAACTTTGTTTACTTAAATTTTGCGAGTACAGTTATTTTCACTAACAATAATAGCGACATTATTAATGTCATAGAAATTTAACTGGAAGGCACGTTTTCCGAATGAATCTTAAACCCGCCATGATGTTGGCTCGAAGCCAGTGTCAACATATCTTCAAATCTTTCTTAAAAAACAATAATGGTCCAAAGGAATGACAGGCTCGGTGGAGAAAATAACAGACGTTTCTTTAAAAAAACATTTATAAAATCAATTTATTGCATGATTTGTAGTTACTACGACAGGAGAACGTGTTTTGGTACGGCGCTCGTCACGATGTCTTTTGCGATGCTGCGGGGGGTGGGTTAGGTGGAAGACTGAGGGGGTTTGTGGCGTGTTTAAGAGTAAAATTCATCTAGTAGTGACCCCAGCCATGTTCCTTAACAAGAACGGGAACCTGTTGCTTAACAAGGATGGGTTGTGGAACCGCGACTGGAACGGGGTGTGGAACCGCGACTGGAACTGCATGAGGGACTGCCACCTGAAAATAAAAAAACAATAAGAGTTAGTTATAAATTATCTGGAATAACGGAATCCAAACGTGTTAACTAGTGCTACTACAGTGAAACTTAATTTAATTTTGTCAAAATTTCGCTAATGGTTTACGCCAGTCAAATTTAAATTTGATCTGGTATTGGGTGATTCGATCGGTAACGACAGAAGGTCTTATCGCGTTCGGAATCAGCGTGGAAATATAATTCGGTAACTAGTGTCCACTAAAGTATACGTTAATTTTGATTCTACCAGAATTCCACCTAATGATTCGTCAGTGAAATTTAAATTGCTGTGGTATTGGATGCTGCGATCGGTTACGACAGGAGGCCATATCGCGATCGGAATCAGCGTGGACCGCATGGCTAATTAACGGAATTACGAACGAAATCGAGACTATCGATCGCTTCGACTCACCTTGACGGGGTATGGGGCGGGCACGGGGACGGGCACCTTAACTGGAACCTGGACTGGGACTGGCCTGTCGACTGGGACCTGGACCGTCTGGGTCTGGACTACTGGGTACGGCTTGGGGACCACTACTGGCACCGGGACTGGGTGTGGGACAGCGACTGGTACCTGAAAAAACAAAACAGTACATACCATTTAAATTCCTTCTAAATACCTAAATTAAAATAGCCAAAAAATGGGTAACTATGAAAACGTAAAAGATCGACGAAACAGACAAAATTTGAAGTTTATCGATATCACACAATTCGATATCACATGATTCATTACAAAGATTTTCTAGATGTTAAAGCTGAAACTGTAAGTTCAGATTGCTAGTATCATTTCGCATGCAAGTCTGTTCATTGCTCAACAGTTAAGTACCAAGTTCTGCATTAATTGAAACTACGGCGACCACACGATCGGTTTTCAGAATTTCTGGAAACGTCGTAGATCGAAGAAGGAAGAAGAAAAAACACGTTCAAAGTTAATAGAGCGTGTCGAGTGTTGTAACACAAGCACGGCTCGTGGTAAGTTTCATACGCAATTTTGTTCTCACCTTAACCGGGACTGGTCGGTCGACGGCGACTGGGTATGGTTGCGGGATACCGACTGGAACGGCGACAGCTTTTTCCTGAACAACGACTTTACTGTGTCCCAAATCACCGCCGACAAGTCCACCATCCCAACCGCCCAGACTAAGTCCGCTGAGGCCAACACCACCCAGACCAGAACCGCCCCAACCTAAGTCAAGCAGACCACGTTTCTGGACCGCTTTTTCTTCGGCGACCGCCACGGTGATCAGCATCAAGCATATCTTCAAGTGAAAAACAATACGATTAAGGGCTTGTTAATTTCGATGTTTCTTTGGTCTAGTACATCATTCAATTTAACACCCTTGATTTTACGATTTTCCGTAGCGACAATGCTCGCCTCGAAGTTACTTCTGGTGTTTCTCATTTATCAAAAATCGTAAATATTAATTATTGATAACAAGACAAGTAGCATGTAACTTGAACTTATATGAAATGAATAATATTCATATTTATTATGTTCGATTGGAAATCTACAGTTCGAGCCCGAGTCCATACCGTGAGTCAAGAAATTAAACTAAATCAACGGAAAGGTCGTTTTCATCCTGATAAATCGATCTCGACAGAAAAATATGAAAGATTCTCGGCGCAAAGCATCGTCCACTATAAACGTTCACATGATCCGACTCCTCACTTGAACGGTAATTATATTAAAAAATGGATCCACAGAAGGAGACGAATCGTCCCTGGGGTGTCTCGTCGCGAACTTATGTTAAACGTACCAGGACCCTCATGGTGAACCGACCGGAAAATACTTTGGCTAGGCGTCTCTCGGTAAATTAAATTGGTTCTGTCGCATTCGAGGAAAACCACCCTTTATATAGGGAATTCACTTTCATTTCGCGCGTGCACCCCGCCAATGGGAAGCCAATGGCCGTTCGTTCGGTGTTCTATCGCCACACCTACCGTCACACTATTTACCCACGATACATACAGCCGCATACCGTCGCACATTATAATACATAATGTGCGTTACACGTGTGTGATTGTATAACACTCTAAACGTGAGAGAAAACTAAATAGAACGTGTGGGGCACTTTATGGAGATACACATACAACTATTATATACATATATTTATATATATATATATACCGGAGCTCCGTGCATTTCGAGCTCACAGCAACTTTAACGAGGCATCGATCGCGGCATTTCGAGGGGAGACCCGCGATCGTGAGACTCGTAAACTCAGGAACACGTTCAACCGCGCACGGATCGAACGGATCCATCGTTCACACCCTGGGAATCGATTCGACGACGAGTACAGTCGCCACGCGTTGTGTACGAATTCATTTTTCGTATCGTCTTTGTTTTGATATTTCGACGTGCTGATCCATCCCCGAGTTGTTCAGACGTAATTCGTTTTTTTCGTATCGTCTTTCGTTAGGAAGTTTGTATATTTCGACGTGCTGGCCCTTCACGGAGTTGTTAAGACGTAATTCGATCGAGGACATCGATGATTCTTCAGTGGAAAGGAAATTTGATAATGAAAGTGTTTTGAGGTGTTGTACTGTACAGTACGTTCGTTCATGATATAGTCTGTGCGATGGATGGTAATTGTAAATAATTTATACCTGGATGAAAATATCAGTTGTGTGTGTGTATTTCGATGGAGAGAACTGCGTTGCACGGGTCACTGGAAATGTTATGAATGGTCATTTGTACAATTTTGTCGTGGGAAGATAGTATCTTCTCGTTTGAAGTAGTGTCTGAGGGAAATATAATTTTAGAGACTTAATTATAAATATAGGGTGTTCTTTTGTTGGTAGTGCAACCGGGTATCGGGTGACTTTGTATGCTAAAGTATTCAGGTTGATCATTTTTCGGGTGCTTCGAGCATGTCTGTCCATTATCGACTAATACTACTTATCGGAAATATTGATACTATGTGACGGTATTACCCATTAATGGAAGGTTTTCCAATCGTACGGTATAATTCAAAAATATTTTTGCAATTTTAATTTAAAAAGAGTCTTATTGTGAATGGGTGAAATATAAATGGCGCAAAGTAAATGGGACCCAAAGATAGCTGAAAAGAACATAGTGTTTGCTAATATTTCCTATTCGATAATACACGAATATTATCGAATACGTTCGGTGGATATTTCGCTATCACACCACGTAATATTTCGCAGCTGATCAAGCGACCGTAGTCGACGCCCGCAATTAATTGCACAAAGTCAGAGGTACATGCCGGAAATCAGGACGAAATTATGCAATACATCGAATACAGTAACACGTCGACGGTAATGGAACGGTCAAGCGGGAAAATTATGTCCAGAAATCTTTACGAGCTGGCTCAGATATTTCCTGATTTCCAATCACCGCTCGGTTTTTCGATTTCCCGACCGTCTCGATTTTACACGTAACCCGTTCAATTTCGATTCTGCATACTTTCGATAAAATTCCAATAAATCTTACCGAAGTATTTCTATTATATGTATGTTAATTCATGAAATAACTTTCATACCATATAGCCCGACAAAAAACCAGGTTCATATATACCGCTACATTTAAATTTCATTTCAATTAGATTGTTGATTCATGTTTGATTCATACCAGTACAGTTCGACGTTTAATTTATGACTCTCCAGGGGAATTGCAGCAATGAATTTCTAACGATGATCTGCATCGATCATAGCGAACGGCCGATCGCGCAGTGGCCATTCACCTGAGATTATTATATTTTCGGCCGCGCGTAAAAGTGTCCATAAATCGGATTACTTCCTGATCGAAATAGGTGATACAAAAGAACCGTTACATACAATTCAGTGTCTGATTGTAGAAAAACTTGATTAGCGATCAACGAGGATCATAATCGCGTCCCACGTTAGATCGGTTATGTAAATTGTCTAACGAAATTTAAATAAAAAGTCCCTAGTAATCCGATCGTTATTAATTACGTTGCTCTCATATTGACGCATTGTATCCTACACAAATGTCGTCCATTTGAAAAAATTTCGAGTAATTGATCGTTAAATAATCGGAAACAGATCGTATCGGTGCCGATTAAACGGTCGATCTCATAATCGACCGTGTGAAGTGATCGATCAAATTCGAATCGACAGAAGTAACAGTATATCAGTTGTACATTCGTTAATACGTCGTATAAGAACAGCTCAATCGAATCCTATCAGCAGACCCAGAAGTTCATCGATCCTTGTTTAGTGATCAGAACCGGAACTGGAAAAAATCTCTCCCCCGTATAGAATTTCCTTCCATGACTCATAAACACAGTTTCGTGACTCGTTAAGCTGTACTGTCTATCACGAACAACTTCTAAATCGAATTAGTACCAACCACCCCGAAACGCCGCGGGACAAAGTGGTTCGCCAGTGATCCAGCAACCGTGACCAATGTCGAAACCGGACAATTTCATTATCGACACGTCGCATATCGTTTATCAGTCCAGTTCGCCAGCGTGTCCGTTGTTATTGTTCGTTAATTACGATTCACATGACACGTCAGAGTTTCTAGAGGGTCGTACGAGTGAAGGGGAAGGGAAACAAAGGTGCCAAACTTCGTCATTAGCGAGTCGAAGCTTAGAAAGCGTGACGTAATACGGAGTTTAGAAACACCTGCCCGGTTGATTAAGAAGTAAGCACTGGATGGCTCGAAGGTGTTATCGAATCGCGATCTAGCGGATCGTCGTTTCACAAGCGATTTTTTGGACGTGAATGATACGCAAATCGGAATCGTCAACCGGTTTGGTTGTACGAATGATCACGATTATCATTCCCGCGGTTTTTGCCCATTTACCGAGGACACTGCTTCTTGTCTGTACGCCTTTCCATTATGATCGTGTTTTACTGTTTATTGTATTATACGTATGTATCCTTCCACGAACGAATCACCTCTTTTTTTCAATTATTACGACATTCATGCGCGGCGTTGGTCGTGCGAAATGATACGAATTACTGCAATCCTTTGCTCAAGTTCTCGTAACATTCTCCATGTTTTACATTTTTGCAGGTAGTTATAAGAGATTCCGTCGTAATTGATGGATTTTATTCACTAAGTGTTTTGATTGATATACTAATGATATGTATCTGACTGTTAGGCACTACTTAGTATCACAAGGTGTTACAAACTGTGTGATTATAGAGAGTAATTCTTCTGTGTCCCATCATTCCTACCCTTGCCTTTCTCGTCGTTGAAAACTTCAAATAGACACACTGCAAGCATTCATTAAAATATACAAAATCAGATTTTGAAATTATTTAATATGTCGATAAATATATGAATAAAGATTACTATATTGATTTATACACGAAGCATTATCCTATGTCAGGCCCAACGACGAATTCCAGCCGTAACGAGAGGTTAGTTACTCCCCGAAGGATCGCTGTTACGTGAACGAATCACAACTGCGAAAATATTTGTGAACGTTTAACGAGATCGTAGCCCCGTGGCTTGCGTAATAGTCTACGCTTCAATGCTGCTTCTAACGTCACTTAATTACCGTGTACGCAGGCTGCGTTCCCCTCCACAGTGGACCAATCATAAGAAATTCCTGGACATTTGATCAATTTTTTTTTGTTGAAATCAGTCAAATTTCTACGTGAAAGTAATACTAGAAGAGTCAGTCTATTATAAACTATCGTCATTTATACTTTTTTCATCACTCTAAATAGAAAAAAATAGTATTAGAAATAGACATTCGCATGATAATGTAATTGACGACTGTTGTAGAGACGCGTTTCTAGTGAACATTTTACAATAATATGTTTCATAAATCCCATAACTGATAACATATATTAAAGAATGTAAAATGATGAATGAATTGTGACATTTTTTTCTATAATTATGTGAACATTTATTTAGTTTCAATAATTTTTATGAAGTCTTCAAAACTGTGTTAGATGTATTACTTTACATCGAGTTTAGTAAAAAGTCCCAAAATATCCCACCTTCTCGTTTATCACAATATGTTGTGAAAGAACCCTATTTTTATATGCAATAAGAATCATATCCTACTTTATCGTACTTTCGCAGTTATTTAAACCAAACAAACATACGAAAATTGTTTATTTGACAGACGCGTCTTTTCGCCGAATCGGTTTTTCTTTGGTTTCGTTCCACTGTGCCCTCCCCGTAGGTTGATTTACTTTACGATGCCTTTACGCGGCTTACTGTATTCTCTCAATTTCTCAAATCCTTCGTAGTTGATCCAGAGTTACTACGGCCTGCGATAAACGCGTACGTTCCTTATTACAAAATTCCACGCGAGGCCGTGACTCACGATTGTTACCGTTGAATTCCGCTCTGGGCATGAATACCCTTTAACGCAATTACGTACTGTATTTATAATTGGCGCGTGCGCCTGCGTGACTAAGGAATCCGTTTTCTTCTTCGTTCCGCCTTCGAAGGTGATCGTGGGCCAAGAATTCTTACACTCGTCAACGTTCAACTGGTACTGGGTCATTTTTTACTCACCTTTGCGTATTATATGCGAAAATAATGGATATAAGTGAGTAGTGTTACTCTGGATAAAGGTGTATCATTTTTATCCATTACTTTTAATTACGATAGTATTGACCGTCAGGTGAGTGATCTTCATGTTCAGATTTGAAATTAACCAAAGTTGATGATACAAGGAAACATCAGAACTAATAACTAGACTGTGGATGTTTATGCATTTATAGCGCCCTCTGACTCGCAAAACGTAGCAAAATAAAGATTGGAAGATTTAATATTATTTGTGCATTTCTATTAACGTACTGAATAAAAGAAATAAAAAGATAAACCTATAGTAAACAAAAGAAATTGTTTTTTTTTATATTGCTGTCCAAAATTGTAAATTTCCATAAACGTCCGCAGTTTATTAAAAGCAAATCTTAACTTCCACAGTTTCCATTTTGATAGAAATAAACTTAACTCTATAAAAGTTGTGGGAATGTTTATAGGTATAGGCGTTTATAATTGAAAAGTTAATCCATTGACAGGCTGCGATTACATACACGGTTTATTCGTTTTTGGAATTCAAAATGTAAATGAATACTTTCCGTGTCCACATCGCGAGGGCTTACACGCGCACCTAGTTCACCCATCGATCTAGAAAACGGGTTCGAGATTTCAATATCGGGCAGGCCACATTGACGTCAATCGTATTGGCCTCTGCGTGGTCGTGCCTCCAACTTCCTCTGCGTGCGGTTTCGATCGTGAAAGATCGTATCGTTTGAGTAACCGAGTGGAACGGTGTTTCTCATCCGTCAAGCACAGTATACATGCGTAGAGTCGAAACGCGAGGTGCAAATTGCAACAAATGAAAAGGGGCATGCTTGGTGATTTTACGGCCGGCGTATCACAATTGTTCTGTGAAAATTCAGGTTACAACTAAGAGATTATCAACATACACACGTTCGACTTCAATCTTCCGAAGGAAAAGTAAGAAATTGCAGTGTCGAAGTACGGACTTGCAACGCATGACCGATAGCTTACAATGACAGAGTCAAATGAAGTGTCACTAGAAAATCTTAGTAAACTTTTGCAACTTTGTTCTGCCCCAAATCATTTACAACGCATGTCCTTGCGTCTTGCTACCAAGTTCTTAATGTTCTTGAATGCAAGTCCTTTCTAAAAGCAACCGTGTTCGATAGTTTCATCATACACGTTATTAATATCCCTCTTCAGTTAATACATAGGGTTGCTGTTCTCGTAGTTTCGCCAGTGTATCGTTTCACATGGCTGCATGGCTCCATGGAACTTATCGCGAGTATTTGCATTACCCGATTTTCAGGATACCTGGCCTCTAGATTGCCAACGAAAATGCGTACCGTTCCTGTCACCCGTAATCCCGTATAATTCGCGTTCTGCGAACTGCGGTTGTTTAATTACACGCGTCGGTCGTGTCGTTTCGTGTGCGTTCCAAATGCAATCCCTTGCCACTGTTCAACCTGTTTTGTAATTAGTGTAACATTAACGATCGCGGTGTGATTATAGGAGTGTAAGCGAGCCTTACCTTTTTCGTACGTTTGCACGTCACGCCATTCTGTTGGATATCATTCAAGGATTTGCGGTGCACGTCAAGCGTGATCAATACTGCACTTGCGGTCTGTTTTCTACTAAGACGACCAGCTAAGAGAATAGTGGCAACAAGAAAGAAGTACAAGTCCGCACTTCGGAGCTGCAAGTCCTTAAGTCCTTAGTTTTCTTTGTTAGTTGGAAAAGACAGGTAAGGGTCATTACAATGAGCATAATGCTGGTAACACGATAGCCTCTCGTATGCATGTTCCAACCATCTGTTGGATATCATTCACGGATTTGTGGTCTAGAATCAAACATTAAATCCTTACTTCCCGTCTCTGGTGGACCACCTCGGTTAGTCATAATGCAGTTTCATTTGACCAAGGGGAAGTGGTTTAGCGAGAACGTTCAGATCAGTTCAGATCAGTGTGAGAGTATATCCGAAAGCTATTTCATGCAACACCAGTTGCATCATTGTTGCATTACAAAAAAATTACTAATAAAAATTCATCAACACAATTCTAGTACGACAGTTTTATCTTCTACTAACTTCATCTTCTGACTTTAATACTTGTCAGATTACTGTCAAATAATTCCCGAACGAATAATATGAAAAATTCCGTTCAAGGGATATTTAATTCGAATGGATACTTCGTGCAGCAGTTAATGCTATTAATAATTGCATCATCAGTTACGTTATTTCACGGTGAGGCTTGAAATACGGTTACGCGTTCGTGATCGAGAAAGGGTGTCGTTTCGTGTCCAGCAACTTAGTAGTGCGGGATAAAGTACAGGAAGGAGACAGGCGGCCCGGGAGAATAAAAGGATGAATTCCTGTTGATCCTTTTGCAGCTCTCACTTTCTGCCGGCGGTGCAGCTCGGTGAAAACAGTAACTGTGCCGCGTTGCTATCAAGATCCGCCTTACGTAAGGCGCAGTAACACGCGAGTAAGACCTGGTCGGGTCCTCTGGGTCCTTTATTACGCGTATCGAGGCTACCAAAAATAATCCTTGCCCCCTGCGCTCTTTTCCGGTTTCTTGTCCCTTCCAGGCCATAATAATAACAACACGACTTTATTACGTACATCACTGTATAAATACAAAATTGAAGAAAAGAAGTACAGTACAACAAAACACAAGGTCGTAGGTTATTATTGGTGGAATCGAAAAGATAATTTTACGTACAATATCTGGTATGAAATGTAGAATAAAATTCTTTCTTGTAAAGCTTGATTGCAGATGAGATTGGATTTGAAGAGTCATGGAATGCCGTACTATTGAAGGACTGGATACTTTGTCTGTGTGTTACTGTCTGTTTCTACTTACAACGAATATTGATGCTAGTGCGAAGTTATATGTTTTCCATTTGATTTTACTACTCATGTTGTGTTGATTTCCATGTAATTATTGTGGAAAATAGGCAGTACCATGCTACTGTCAAGATTTGTAAAAATTAACACAAGTAGTCAGTGACAGTTATGATGAAGATTCGTCTCTTCTCGGTTCAATCATAAATTAAGCTTCATCTGGCATCCAACAGATTGTAAATTGAATTAGCATATTGTTTACATGAATCTTCAGACCAAATGGACCCAATTTATGAAATGCAATAAGAATCAGCGTAGTTTATGAATCCCCAATGACGCCAACGTGACCTGAAAAAAAATTACCAAAATATTAATCTGTATTTAAATCAAGGTTTCCCTTTCGCCAGAGAGATGAGCGAATAATAAAGTGTTTTTATTTCCACCAGACTGCGGTATTTCTTCCGTCTTTGTAGCGAGGACCCGGGGGAGATCCTTTGTTCATCTCTCCAATTAAGTTAACGAATCCGAAGGTAACACCCACGTTGGAAACGAATCACTTCGTTATCATTACACCGTTGAATCATACAGGATCAGAAAAATTTCCGCAGAACTGGTTCTAACTGCGCTGCTGGGTACGTGTAAGGTCTGACCAGTGAAAGTCAAAAAAATTGGGCGACGAAAAACAGCCGGTGAGTAATGCCTCGTAATTGTTTCGTCAAAATGATCTTTTTGATTGCAGAACCAACCACGATCGCTTTGGAATCAATTACGTGGATATCTCGTTAAAGTTATGTAAATATTTTAAGAAGATGGGCTTCACTCTTGTGAAATAGGGATCACTGGTGAGTTGAAAACAATGATTAATAATGAACAGTCAAATGGTGAAATGAATTTTATTGGACAGAGCAAGATTGTAACAAATTTTGAACTAATATTATGATAATATTCTTAATTGATATCTGGAATTCGATGTTGCGCCAGACATCAGACATGAGGTACAAGTCCGACCGTGCAACCTCCTCGTGGTGTACCTTGGGTTATTCTAATGCCGGCGGCCCACTTTTCATGTAAAGTGCGATAAAGTGGTGACAAAAAATCATATGTCACCTCTTTAGATGTCGTTGTAAAGGGGACAGTTCTCTTTACAAAGTCATCTCAAAACGAATCCCCCAAAAAATTGTTTAAACTCCGTAGAGTCGTTTGAATTCGTGCAATTTGAAAAGAAAAAAAACAACTTTAGTTTTGCACTTCATTCTACAACGGAAAGTGATCTTCCAAGAAATGGAGTTCAAAATTGTGACAGTAGAGGCTTTAAAATGTGCCCGTACGATTTTTTTTACAAAGTTACAGTTATTCAAATATCGACAATTTTTCGGTTGAAATTTAATGATCCTATAATTTTCTGACGTAGTGTATTAACCCTCGAATGGAGAGGTAGGTTTTAAGATTCTACTTGGTGGGTTGGGATCAGATTTTAGCTTTTTTTACTATTTTAAGACGGGTAATAAGGAATAATAATTTAGTTATATAACCTATAATAATGTAAGTATTAAACGTTTACTAAATAATAAAGAATATTTGGAAACGAGAATACTAAAAAAATAATAAAAAATAGATTGGGGACAGCACAAGAGGAGCAATAATTTGGGTTGGATACGACCCGGACCTTACCATTAGAGGATTAAAATCGATCACATTATGTGCAATAGTCTACAAATAGATCATAAGTGATATGTTTAAGAACTACATTTAAATTTCTGATAAACTATCATATTAATTTCAAGTACCTACCGCCTGAAATGATAAGAATCCTCTGAATTATGAAGAACCCCAGAGTTCACAATGGAATTCCTGAAACACACGAAGACCACCAGGATGCAATACCTTAGAGGAAACGTGGGCTAGATAATTTCAGAACAAAGAGAACGGCAGACACGCGACAGACATACGTATCGGCGTGACTGCGTGCGGTACGGCACATGGTTCGTGATACGTGAGAAATTTCACCGGAATCGTACACACCCATTTCAATAGGCCGTCGAACATTTGGACAGCGCGACCATAGGTAGGGCACGGTGCGCGTGCGAAACGGATTCTTAATATTACTCATGGACAGTTACGTCAGGGGTTATAACGATACCGTGGGCAATTAG